GACAGACAGACAGGCAGAGGGTGCGAACGGGAATAGACCGACAGACAGACAGACAGGCAGAGGGTGCGAACGGGAATAGACCGACAGACAGACAGACAGGCAGAGGGTGCGAACGGGAATAGACCGACAGACAGACAGAGCGTGCGAACGGGAGTTGACAGAGAGGCAGAGGGTGCGAATGGGAATAGACCGAAAGACAGACACAGAGATAACCGAGCAGGAGGGATGTATTTTTATATATTTTCCAGGAGTGAAATTCCAGTCTCAGCAGGTCCCAGGCAAGGTATGTGCAGGGTCAATTGATATAACATGTCTTTTCTCCCCGCCAACGCCCCCCACCCAAGTGCCCCGCGCTGCCCCATGGTTGGTCTCTGCAGCAGATGCATCTCGATTCTCTGCTGGGCTCAGCCTGCACCTCCGGAGAGCCCAGCAGAGCCCCTACATCATCCTGGGGACCGGCTCCTGCCTAGGCCAGTTCATCCCACCTGGCCCCCCGGGATCCAACGTCCCCTCGAGCTGGCCCGGCTAGTTTCACTGCTTCAACATCGAAACTTTGTGCCTAATTTCCTGTGTGAACATGTCTAGCTTCAGTTTCCAGCCGGAGCTCCGCCAGGATCATGACCGCTGTCAGCCTGGCTTGGCCGGACCCCTCTCCACCATCCCCTTACCAAGGCGCGGGGACGACTCGTCCCCATCCCTTTTGGCTTTCGGAGGCGGCTTTCTCGGGCTCGGCTTCGGAGGGACCCAGCCGCCTTTCGGACCTGCGGTATCCTGCTATCCCCATGCGACATGGGAGGCCGCGAAATTAAGCGTGGGGAGGGGGTTGGTTTGTGTTCATGTAGACCCACCCAACCCCAGAAACTTCCCGCAGCTCGCTGGCAGATCCCAGAGGTGGAACATGCAGGGGGGAGCGGCCCTGAACTCTTAAAAAAATAGATTCATACGTTACGAGGTCAAAATCACCTCTATAGTCCTGTTTATCGTACTGCTTTCCCAGGAGACGAGGCCTCTGGTGAAATATCTCTTCTCTCTCACATCACCCACCAAAGCCAGGGGGCAGAATCACAAGTGTAACCATCCCCCCTCCTCCGGGGCTCCCTCGTGAACTCACAAGGGAAAAGGGGGCGGGGGAGAGACGGGTAGGAAATAACCAAGGGCGTCCGGACGGATGCACAAGAACCTCTATAATGCACGTGATCGGACAGTAAATTCCACCAACAAAAGCTAAGAAATTCCCAGGTCAAAAAACGTCGTTAAAGCCCGCAAAGATCCGTGCCCCTCCCCTGCCTCCCCCCGACCACTTCTTTTTCCCCTTGAAGCCATTTCCGGGCCCGAAACAGGAAGTCCCCCCCGAAACAGGAAGTCCCCATCCAAAAAGAGGAAGTCCCACCCTCGCCGGAGTGTCTTCCTCCACCTCATTTCCTGGTGGGCGATATGTCACTTCCTGTGGCTTAACGTTCGCTTCTTGCTGAATGGCAAGGGGGGTGAAAAATGACGAGCCCACTCCCATACCTCCATGCCTGCCCCCCCCCAGGACGAAAATGTCTCTCTGATAAAGGGGGGGTGGGGGGAGGGTGCGTGCGGCTGGCAGCCATTTTTGTTGAGTCACATTTTCAAACAGCGACATAGAAAAGGTCCCAATGGTTGAAATAACCAAACCTTTCGCCCCTCCCTTGAATCCCACCCCCACTACATGTGAACTGGGACTGGGTGTGTGTGTGGGGGTAAAACTGCCCCCACCAGTCCTTAGGACAGGGGGAAATCTCCTGAACAGGGCTGATCTCCCCTCACCCCACCCCGGGACATAACACTGCTGCTCCTGGCCTTCCCCCTGACTCCACAGACCCCCATCCCGAGGGGAGGAAGAGGTAGGACCTGGCCTGGAAGGGACTGTAGGGATGGGAGGAGCGGAGCTGGGGGGGGGTCTGGGGAAGGGACCCGCTCCGAG